GAGTCACCAGAGAATACTTTGTTTTCCCTTGTTCCAGTTGGCTATTCCTGCCATCTCAGGAAATTTAAAATTTGGGTTGCTTTTTGACCACAATACAAATTAAAGTTTAAGGTAAATAAATAGATTTCCCCTAGCTGAAACTATAATATTGTCCAGTGCCTCTAAAACATCCATAAAAGCACTAAAGTACCTGCATATGCCTGGAAGCAGATGCCTGGCTAATGTGTGTTGCTTGTTAGAAAGTGTGTATGTTACTTAACCTCTTGCATATTTATCTAAGACTGGAAAAATATGAACTTCATTAGCACCTCTGCAGCTTTTTTAAAAGCATCGGTATAAACTCAGGCTGCATCCTCGTATTGCAGGTGTAGGTGTAAGTTTTAGAGGAACACAAACGCCTGTAAAAACTGCAGCGGTTTCAGTGCAGCAATGAGTTTATGCCCACTTTGGAGCCCTGTTTTACTGCTGTCCTGGTTTAAGCTCCCTCCCCAGCTTCTATGGGAAGCTGAAAAAATCCTTGACTAATGTAAACATCACTTAGCTACAACCAAACCAATGTGGTATCAACACTATTCTCATACTGAATCCAAAACACAGCAGCTACTAGAAAGAAAATTAACTCTATCCCAGCTGAAACCAGGACAACTGCTGGAGAGTTTGGAGAAATACAGATTGGGAAGAGAATTTGGCCCTTAGTTTTCCCATTAAGTGAGCATGGCTGTTGCAGCTGCCTGTGCGTGTAGGAATAACAAGCAGAGTCAGTGTAACGTCTGTGGTGTAACTTTGGGGCAGAGTTTGACAAGAGTTTCTGCAGCGATGCCACATCCAATGCTGCCTGCCATGGTGTTCTCGCTGGTGCCTCTACAACTGTTCACATGGCAATTGAGTGGCTTAGGTCAGGTGAAAAATAACCCAGCGTGAAACTTCTTTTTCCTTTTTTTCTTAGTACTGGTCTGCTCTCTGGATGTAGTGTGTTGCGTGGTTTCGGCAAGGTACGGGAAGTTGTGGTGAGGGAACAGAAACAAGAGTGTGAGTTAGGCTGGCACTGCCTTTGAAAAAAAACCCCAACAGTTGTTGAACTAGAGCCCTAAAAACAAAGGGAGTAAGATTCCCTCAAGTAATAAAAAGGGTGGTCATTTTTTTAAGTTTTCTTTCCCATAATCTGTGGTATCATCCAGACTGAACTGCAGTCAGCCCACCTCCTGCTTTACTCAACCCTGGGAAGTCACTTGGGTACAGTGATGATGTGAGGTGTAAAATAGGGATGAGTGAATATATACATTTTCCATGCACTGAAGCTGCAGTGTGCTGGAGCTCTTATCTCCTAAAATCTCACCTAGATCTTGACAAGGTGGCTTGGGATTTTTGCACCCCATGTGTGTAAAGCAGATGAAAGAAGGAAAGTCCTATGTTTGAATGATCTGACTATTTAAACAAATTTTGTGGAAGAAAGCATGTAACTTCATCTTTACTTCATGAAAACACACCTGACTGGAGCACGTACTCAGTGTAGCTGCTCTTTCTGTAGCTTATGAGTTCTATGTGATCCTTCTGTGTGATAACCCTAGAAAATACTAATATATTACTTTAAAACAGATACCAGAGTGGTAGAGCTTGTCCCCTTTACGATGGTTTTGGTGCGCCTGCTGCCTTTCCTGCTGTGACCTTGACAGGACTGGGTTGTTAGGACAGTGTATTTCGTTTAAAGATGTATTTGTGTGTCCTTATAGGGGAGGACAAGAATTAGCTGGAGATGATGGAGGCAGCTTTTAAAGGCAGCATACAAAGTCCAAGCGATCAAAATTTCCACTGTGTCTGTGCCTGGTCAGGTGCTTAGACTGGTACCCCACGTGTACAAGCATACCTCACAATACTGGAGGGTCAGCGGTATCAGTCCTCACTGGCAAAGGAGGCATTTTAAAAGCAGGTATCCACCTCATGGTAGGCAAAAGATTGAATTATTCATGGGTACGAAGCCTGCAGCTGTGTGTCGTGTTCATTTTAGCACTGAGTTGAAGCTTTCTTGACCTATGTTTGGTGTAATTAAAAACAAATCCCTCAAACCCAAGAATTGTTTGGAAAGGATTCTGTAATGCTAGGGCGGTGTGTATAGACATGTTCTTATGCCTGCCCTAATTGTATGGATTTGGTCATAGGAGCTGCTGGACTCCAGCACTTCCATTGATTTGTCACAGTCTACAAATCCCGGACTTTCTTAGCACCATGAGGAGTAGAAATTACTTAAAGAAAATAATTGTGTATATTTGCTGTGAATGCATTACGCACAATTTTATTACATTTATATTAAAATAAGTTGAGACGCATTTTGCTTTATTTACCCTGTTTTCAGGCTGTTTTCCTTTTGCCTAAATGAAACCCTTTTGATGCTCTTGCTTGTCTGGCTGGCTGTAAACCAGGTATTTAAACAAAAATAAAGAGTTGCCAGTTTTGCCAGCTGGGGATGAGAACCCGGCTGGTGATATGCGGGTTCGGGAGGCAGTTAATCCAGCTTTTATGCTTTTTTATGATTTTATGTAAAAAGAGGTTAAAAATCACATTTGGCTCTTTTCTTTGTACCACTGTTTTGTTGCTGTTGTGGGAATGCAGCAAAAGGTTGCTCATACTTTTTATTATTATTAGGTAAAGTCCTGCATAAATTAGGTAAAGCCCCAGATACAGTTTGCTTTAGATGTTGGCCATGTGATTTGCCTTGTTCAGAGAATGATACGTTTTATCTTCCTATTGCCTTCTTTTATAAATCACACACGCAAGCCACACTTCAACTTGTAAAAAGAATCTACTACTGCCTCGCAATTTTATATATTTTACTATCTCCAAAAGAAAAGACTAACTAACTGTACAAATAGGAAAAATAGTAACCGGGCTAATAGACGTAGTAGAAAAATATATAACGCTTTTATTCTGTAGCAGAAGAAATGGTGATATAAAGACAAGTGTCACAGATTTCATATACAGTTTTTCAGCAAATAGCTTGCAATATGCTCAAACTCATAAAACATTTAATTAATTTTAAAATGCAGGAGTTATTTTAGTTAGTTTTGTCATATGTACTTATTCAGATAATTTGTTGTATTTTACACTTTCCAAAATTTCACCCTCTATTTGGAAATATCAATGATGTAACGAGTCTGTGTGTTTTGGCACAGTTGTAAATAGTATGTGTTAATGTGTTAATATTTATGATTTTTTAATCTTATATGCACAAGAGGGATTTGTAACACACTTCTTTTCATCATGTTTCTACTACTAATCCTTAAGGACAGCAAAAACTAGGAATATGAATGGCTTAATTACTGCGAGATTGTCAAAATTGCCACGCTGGATTAGATTGCATTTTGTTCCTGCTAATAGCATCTACCAGATACTTCAGAGCAGGGTTGGATTTACAGGGGGAGAAAAAGGAGAGGCAGATAAACGAGCTCGACACCCCTCGTTAGGACTGGCTAGGGTAGTGCATGTGTCCTATGATGTGGTCACGGCCACTTAGTGTCCCCAGATGGGTGAGGACTCTGCCCTTGCTTCAGAGGAAATTACCGGAAGTCATCTTCCGCTTTTTATACAATCGCAAGATAATGTACTCATGGAAGATGGTTATTTCTGATCTGTTAGAGGTTGCCTTACTATACATCACCAGATTTTCACTACTGTATATCTAAATGAGTATTCCTGTGTGTCTACTTACAGTTTGAATCTGGGTGAGCTTTTTGTGGTGGTGGTTGCGTGTGTCTGTGTTGTAAGAAGTATTTTGTTTTCCGTGGATTGATTTGTTGTTTTTGTTTTTTTTTTAAATCAGCCATAGGTACTGCCTTTCAGAATCTGCCTTTTTATGATACAGAAACAATTCTTTGTAAAAAATTCAATTCCTTATGTAGTCCAACTCTACTGGTTGCGTTTATCTTTTTAAGTATGTATTATTTAAGTCTAATTTCTTGTTTTAAAGTTTTTGCCTCCTTAATAGATCTTTCGGCAGGAAATATTGGCAATTTGGCACATACAGTTGTGGTATCTTCTGTATTACCATTTATTAACTTCTAACTGTCGCATCTTTTTTGAATCAAAGGGTATGATCTTCTAGAAATTCGCAGAAATTGGAATTATATATGTATATATTCAGTTTCTTTATTGCTTATGGTTTCATTGTGGGTGTCTGCTGCTGTTGTGTTGTCTCCATTTCTACAATTTAATATGAAGGTGTATTAAGGTCAAGACACACTGCTTAGATTCCTAATTCCAGTTCTCTGGGGCTGTTGGGAGAAGGGCTGTGGAGTAGGTTGTTTTTAGGTACACAACCTTGGAGGCATTATATTAACAAATTATATAAACTGTACCATATTTCTTTGATCATACAGTAGCATGTAAACATAGTATCATATAAACATCATCATATTTCTTTGCCTAAGCACAGTTCAGCTCTTTGGACTATTTCATGGAATGTAGTGAAACTGTCAGGAGAAACGCATCGAGGACTTTTAATATAAACAAAGGTCATAAAGAATCTAAGCTTGTCTTAGTAAGATTAGGCTGTTTCTAAATGTGAGGCCTCATTCTTACAGGTGGGGTAAGGAGAGGGAAGTGACTGAGCAAGGAAGGGGATGCTTCATTTCTTCTCCCAGAACGCTAACCGAGGCATTAGTGCCTGCAGATGACGTGTCTCTTCCTAAAGCTGTGTACACTATGCATGGGATGGTAGAGGGCATAGGGAAGGGGAAAATGCAGTCATGATAATTTTGAGCAGGTCATTCCTGAGTTTTTATGTTGCTTTTAGCAGTACAGCCCTCATTATACCTGGAATTTGAGTGAGCTCAGGTGCGTGGGTCAGTACTGCAGTTGCATGTATTGAGCCAGGTTCTGGGCATCCTTGTAGCACACTGTGAAAATAAAGTCTCGGAAACACATTCATATAGAGGTGCATGAAATAGACTGAATGATCAAGTCTGAAATAGTGCACATCTTACAGCTGGTTTTGGTTTCTGTCTTAGGTGTTGGAAGATAATGACTATGGTCGTGCAGTGGACTGGTGGGGATTAGGAGTTGTCATGTATGAAATGATGTGTGGAAGATTACCGTTCTACAACCAAGATCATGAGAAACTATTTGAACTGATACTAATGGAGGACATAAAATTTCCTCGAACGCTGTCTGCAGATGCAAAATCATTACTATCAGGCCTACTGATAAAGGATCCAAATAAGCGGTAAGTGAAATTACTTGGGTATACAGGTGTAATAAATACTCCCATTATACTGGGTAATGTAAAAATAGGCCAGTAGTGCCTGGTCTTCCTGGATGAAGGACCTGTCAGTCACAGGAAAGGGCTGTATGCAGATAATACTGTCTCAGATTTCCACTTCTTCAATAGAGCAACAATATATGAAGTGAGTTTAACAAGCAAAAGGGGAAAAAGCACGTGGAAGATAACAAGACAACACTTTAAAAGTCATTCATAGCAAACACAGGGATCTTTTTAGGTTTAGATTGTGTACTAGAAGAAAGGGAAAGCTCTTAGTTGTTTTTCAGAATATGACTTAACCCTGAGTTGGCTGTAGTGTCTCATGGCAACTACAGCACTTTTTTTGGAAGTGATCATGCCAGAAGACATGTATAGGCACCCGCAGCTAAATTTTATCAGGGCAGGTAAATAAATCACATATTAGACCATGTAAACTCCTAACTCGTTAAAGAATGCATCTTCTGAGTGAAATTTAAATAGAGTGGTTTGAAAGAAAGTATCACCCAGCTGCTGCCTGTGCCTTTTTGTGGTGGGCTTTTCCCTCTGGGGTTGTTGCCTGGGAGAGCCATTTTCCAGTGGCTCCTGCACTGGACCAGCAGTGTCCAGTCCCCGGTGGTTCTAAAACAAATCTCTGTCTTTGTAAATCAGTGAGATTCGTCTGTGAGTCCCCTCTTTTCCCCGATCTCTCTGTTGGTGGTGTGAGTCTCTTGGCATGTTTTCATGCCACAGGCATTCTTCTGTCTGCCTCTCTCTCTTCTCTAGTCCTCCTTCATCCTCAGTTTGTTCTCAAGAAGTTTTCAGTCGCAGGTATTGCTCACTGGCACTCAGGGCAGGACTGGTTGCTGTGTCTCTCTGGGGGATTTGCCTGCACGCAGCCAAGTGCAGCAGCCAGGACAGTGCAAGCACTCAGCCTTTCTGCTGCTGCCCACCAATGCCTCTTCAACTGAATTTTACTGCATGCAGTGAAAGCAAAGTGTGTCCAACCAGCCAAATACATGGGAAGTAAAGTAAAAATTTGTTCCTGTAGCAACTCCTAATGCATTTTAACCTTCAAACAATCTGACCCATCAAATATATTAACCTTTAGAATCGAAAAGATAGTTCCCTGTAATTAATCTTTGCAGACAGTAGTGTTACATTTACAAGCTTATTCATATTCAAGTTCTGGTGCTAGCTAATGCTAAATAGGGTGAGAGCACAGAGGTTAACTGCAACTCAGCTTTTTTCTGAGCAGCTGGATGGAAAGATATTGAGAGAAGTCTGGAGACTGCAGGCTATGCAACGCTTTGCAGAGACAGAGAGAATTTTACAATGAGTAGCTGAGAAACAAAGGGGAATATGGCTTGGAAATGAGAATAACTTTACACCCAATTACTGCAAGACTGAGGTAGTAGTCCAGAATATTGTTGTCATTCAGCAGCAGGGTAACACCAATACAGATTTCTTTTCTTGGTCGTGGGAATTACTGCTCCTTGCAATAAATGCTTTAGAGAGGAATTCATCTTACTTAAAATGTTGCTTTTAAAATTTGTCTTTATATCTTTAGCAGTTCCTTTTAATGAAACACAAACTGCTCGTGTCACTCCTCTTGTCAATATTTAACATGCATGGGCTGCTTGCTCAGTTAAGATAAGCTTTTCTTCTGTTGCAGCTTTTTTCTGTTAGACCAGTAGGACAGCCAGTCTCAGTTACATGAGAGCTGAGCAGTCCTGGAAGTCCACATGCTGTTGAAAGGGGCAGAGGTTCCCTTCACTGGATGTGTGGTTCTTTCTCCACCACCAGCAGCAGCTCAGGAGAGCTCGCTAAACTTGTTGAGCCAAATTTGACTTCCTAACGCAACGAAAAACGGCCAGTTCTTTCTCGTTTTCTCATTGCGGGGTTAGTTTTCTTCCAGGTTAGTGATCTGACTCAGCTCACAGTCATCAGTGGGAATGATGGTGTAGGTGCAAGTGAGAGGAGAGAGGTATGGGCAGGGGTGGGACCCTTCTCTTTTGGCAGCAGTGACCACGTCCATGAGCTCAAATGGCCTTGGGCGAGTTCACCCAAAGTAGGTGGAATTCACTTCCTAAGATGATCTGCCACAGTCTGACTTTGGCAAGCTATGGGCAACAGTGAATAGTGTGGTTATTTACAATGGCCTTTAAATAACCTTCTCAGCAGGCCTACAATTTATTAATTTATACTAATTGACTCAGATTGAGACTATTTTATGGTAATTGGTTAATTGTTACAGCACCCAGATGCAACAGCAGTGAACACTGTATAAAAATGATGCGTGAGTCATTACTGATTCAGTGCCTGGCACCTCCTTGGCAAAATTTTATGTCAGCCTTGTTGGGTTGGTTTTGGTTTTTAATAGTGCCAGAATGTTAATTGGTCTTTCAAGAAAACTAAACTTGAGTATGTTTTTAAAATGAATGAATTATTGAAAAAGCTCATCATGGACAGTCATGAACACTGTAGTGGGATAATCAAATGGAATAGACCATGGCATAGATACTTCTACTATGACATTTTCTCTCAAGATCACCTGAATTCATATTAAACAGGTGAGAATTACATATTAAATATCTGAGAATTGTTCCCAGATAGTCAAAAACAAATGGTCACTTTTTTAAACATTACTATAACTTAATCTCCCTTTAAGAGTAACACTTGTTTAATATGATTTTTTTTTTTCTGCTCTCTTTAGACTTGGTGGAGGCCCAGATGATGCAAAAGAAATCATGCGTCATAGTTTCTTTGCTGGAGTGAATTGGCAAGATGTATATGATAAAAAGGTATGTCTTTATATGACATGGAATAATCTGGCTTCTGCAAGGTGGTTTCAACTGATAGTCATAGGACTCCGGCTCTCTGAAGTTAGTCATGTTTTTCTTTGCAACTTTTTGTGTTAATACAAACAAGTAATTATTCTGAACTAGGTGTACTTACTTAATCTTTTGGTTTTCAGTAATAATTTGTCCGTGGACCAAAAATAAATTTTGCAAACCAAGCTACACTCAGCAGAGATTTTTCTTTTATTATGTAAATGTCCAAATCTTTTCCTTTCCCTTTTTCTTCCTGGGCCTTCAAGAGAAAAGTAGGTGTATGACTCAAGATAATGTGAGAAAGTCTAATGGAAGTTTATCCTGAATAGTCTTTTTATTTCTGCATTTTATTGAAAAGTTGTTTTATGGAAATAGGAAAATAAAGTGATTGGAAGTGACTCATAGCAAAAATCTACTTTCCAATTGTTTGTGTTTAAATAGAAATCTTTTTCAAACTTATTTTTAAAGAGATAGCTAAGAAAATTAAAATAGCATTAAAACACTGAGCCAAAACAGCTTGTGGAGAAAGCGAGTACTGGAAATTCAATTGGAACAGTTGTCTCTAAACCCAGTCCTGTTCCTGTAATGATCAACACTTTGGGGATGATTTTAGAAAATGAATTTATCTTACTCAGTAGTGAAACTCAATTTGACTTAAGTTGTTTTATATACAGAAGCTGATTTTTATCTCAGTACTTGTGTAAGAATTTACTTGTTGCTACAACCCCCTTCTATTTTGATAAAGTCTTTTTTTTTTCCCCAACTGTTTTACATTGTTAATCTGCCAGTTGAGCTGCGTAATTTTAAAAGATAGATGTTTCTCCCTTTTTTGCTTTGTTCGAATAGAAGGAAAATGGAAGACATATGAGTGAGCAGAATATGTTTATGCTACGATGTCAATGATACAAACTGTTTTTTCAGTTGTTATTGAACTGAAATTTTAAAACTGTGTGGTAGTTGATGTGGTACTTCTCTGACAAATACCGGAATTGAAATATGAGCTTGTATATGTACAGCACACAAAATGTGGTACTCTGAAGTTACTTGATACACGTGTAATTTTTCCCTGGCAATATGATGAGGTTTCAAGAAACTCTAAAATGAATAATCAGAGCAAGTATATTAATCAGGTTACTTTATGAGCTCAACCTCTGGTTGGTTATGTAAGGACATGGTAGAGAAGCACTTTGAGGATAAAATCTAAAAATACGAGTTGAGGACCTTTCTGGAGTTTTAAAAAACCCACTAAAATTGATTGGATTGCAATGTGCTAGGAGTGGGTGAGAAAGAAAAAGCTGTTACATTCCCCTTGCTCTGTTGAAAATAGATTTCTTAATTCCTTTACATTAGAAGTAGGGATCTCAATTCCACGCTGTGTTCAACATCATATTTAGTTAAGAAAATATAGAAACACTTAATTTTTAAGCATGCGCTTTGAGTCTTTACAAATCAACATAGCAAATGTCTTTCAGTCAAGATCTTATTCTGAGCTATTAAAATAAAAGGAGGCATTTTGCAGGTACAAATATACGTATAAATTTATACAAATATGTAAAAATATATATAAATGTATAAATGCAGGTATTTTGCTTTTATGCTCAGTGAGGTAGATATGGCTTATTGGAGTATTATAACTGGAGAAATTGTAGTCATTCATTGTTTACTCTGTCCGCTGTTGCTTTGAGAAACTAAGTTTGCCAGTAAAAAAATCAATTGAATTTCCTCAGTTGAACAGTTAACTTCAAGGATCATAGGAATTGCTTTGTGCAATATTGGCACACAAGGTGTTCTTTATGGAAGAATAACTCATGAAGATGACTTCTGACAGTATGTTTTTGTGTTTAATTAGAAATAGTTTTGTTCCTATTACAAAGCCATTTGTCTGGCTGGTTAAAATATCCAGTTGTTCCTTCTGCATGCACAGTCTTACCGGTTCTGAAGTATGTAGAGTGTAAGACTGTGCTTGGAAATATAAACTTCAAACATAATAATAAGGTTAATTAACTTTCACTAAGTATGTTTATTAGAATGCTTATATGAATATTTTTGAGGTTTTAGTATTCTAAAATAACTCAGGAGGAATGTGCATCAAACAAATTTGATTTTCAAATAGATTTATTCTGCGCTTGCTTCTGTTGCTGTTTATTATTAGTAGTACAGTCTTCAGCAGTAGGGTCATTTGATGAAATTGATAGTTGGTATAATTATTTGCATAGTAAAAATATTTCACAGTATTCTTGCCTGAGGTTTATGCACCATGAAACTGTAATTTTCTGGCTGCGTTTCAGGAGTGTGTTTCCGTTAGCAATGAAAGTACTGAAGTTCACAGTCAGAGTAATGGAAACAAAAAAATCATGTGTATTCCAAGTAGTTGCTGGGGGATAGTTTTGTACGTGTGTGCACTACGCTCCTGTGCCACTAGTTTTATCATTTCTACTAGAGATTAAGTACATCTCTGTACTTACTAGGTTATCACTTTAACTGGTGTGATTAGACACAGAATTATATATCTGTAAACTTCGAGTATTTCATGCAACAAACGGTAGCTCTGTCAGGTCAAATGGATCCAAATGGTCAAATGGAATTATTAGCTTTCTGATACTGCTGACTAGTTAAACTAATTTGGTACTACACAATGATAATAAAATGTTGCATGGCACACTGGAGCAGAGAAGGTCGTTGCCTTTAGATGAAAAATGTATAGTAGTTAGCATTTGTGATCAGATGTATTTATTTTTGGCAGAAAAACCATGAGGGCATATGAAAGAGCAGCCTGTGCCAGGTTCTCCCTGTGATCATCTCAGCCCTGATGAGTTTTCATCTCTGTGCCTGAGTATGAGAAATTGAATAGTTTGGCAAACTCTGAGGACTTCAAAAGCCCCATATACTTCTAAATAAAATATTTGTTTTATTTTTAGCTAGAATCAGGAAGCTTTTTGAAATTTCTCTGTTACTCATTGAAGAATCGTTTTAGCGTATTTTTATTTGGTTTGCAGAAATATTCTTAAGTTGTCGGATGTTCTGTCTGAGGTCTTTCACTGAACAAAAACCACATGGGCATTAATTTAAAGGTAGGAATTTGGGTATGTCTTCAGGCTTGCAGCTTGAAGCACTTGGGTAGCCTCATGTCAAAAGAGATCCAGACCTTTAGCGAAGCCTGGGTTTCCTCCTGCACGTAATATGGATGAAAGAAGAAGAAAGAAGCCCTACGGGAGTTTGGGCTGAGATACATATATCTCCTCCTGATTTCTGATAATACCTCCGACCCTTCCTGAAGCAAATTAGGGGGTGCTAACAAATGTATTTGTTAGCACTGGGAAGGGAGCAGGGGCAAGTGGCAGTAATGGTTAAAGTTGGAGTATCTGACTTTGCTGAGGGTGCAGCGCTTGCGGAGGCACCTCGCGCAGTGTGGAGGCAGCGACGTTCAGCACGAAGCCTGACAGCGGCGGGAAGCTGCTCCTCACCCTTCCGCTGTGACTACCTTTGCTTTACACAAGACACAAGAACAGCAGATGATGAAATGCCATGATTGAAGCCCTGGGTTCAGGCCTGGCAAAATCTGCAGTATAACTATAAACTTAAATGAATGTTTGAGTACTTCTGTGTATGGATTTTAAGGGAGAAGGCAGGGGGGAAATAGGAAAATACCAACATCTGGTTTTAGGCCATTGCTATTTGAGTCTTACTATTTTTGTACAATTATCTGCAGTGCAACAAAGCCTGTAGAAATGACCCTCGTAACTTGCTTTTGTGTTGTTGCCATGCAAAGTAGTAAAAAGATCAGAAAACTGCTAACCAGCCTGATCTTTTCATTGTGTTTCCAGTGATACTGTAAGTGATACGGGCAGACCTAGTGGTTGATTACCACCCTTCCCCCAGCTGCTTGAATTTACAGGGGGGAGAATATACATAAGGCTGTCTGATTCTTAAACTTAAATTGTTGCTGTGTTCCTGGGGGCTGTGGTTTCTCTCTGTCCATCTTTATCGGCATTGTATCACTTGCGCAGCAGTTTGTCCATGGGCAAAACCCCCTGCTGAAGCCTGCATTCCTGTGGATTTGTGAGTGTGTCTTTCCACCACGCTGAAATCCCAGCTCTTCCTCCTCCCTCTGCCTGGGACCACCACATGCGGTGTCCTAGCAGGGTCCGCGGGGTATTTCCAGCTCCCTACGCAAATGCTTACTCTCTGGCTTGAACCTCAACTCAAGTTACCATCTTTCCCCCAGTGGAAACTCAATTTGGGGCAGATGGACGGGGATGTCTCTCTTCTGTTCAGTAAACTAGATTCAGAAATTCTGTGGGAAGTGTGTGCGCGTAGTCTTTTCTCCGTCCTGGTGCGTTTGCCTAGCTGTCCGGAATTTGGTAGGGAGGGATGTACAGACTGACAGAGCGCATAATCTCATCAGCTCCTGTTTCCTTTGGTAACTGAGCTAATATCAGACAAACAACAAAAAAATATTGTTAGGAAAGGAAAATCAATATTTTAAAGGACTTAAATATTTTTAATTAAAATATCGTTGTTGAGGATCTAATGTTGAAAGTCTGAACTAAGGTTTTGTGTTGTTAGTATCTCTGCATGATTTTTAAGGTCGCCAAGCATTGCTTTGAAGGGAGCGTAGAAGACATATAAATGAGGGAACACATATTAACAGATATGCATCAGAAAAAAACATCAAATTTTGAGACAAACTTTGCTACTATCCTTTTAAAATGTTTTATTGTGTTACTTTGTAAGTTAATGAATTTCAGGTTTTGTGAAAATAGACTGTTTATTTGGAATGTTAGCTAGTTTGTTAATACAAATACATTGGAAGTCTGTTTGTGAATTGTGAGATATTTTCAGCACTTTCAGCTGAGCATGCTTGCGAAGAAATACAAAGGTATATTTCAGTGATGTGACCCCATTCGCTTCTCACAGTGTAGTTTATTTTTCCACTGTTCTGATTTGGCTAATCTGTCTCTTGTTTCATT